CCCCCCCGAGGAAGCGAGCCCCACCCCCCCGAAGGCCGTGGCAGCATCGCTTCCCCACGAAGAGCCCGTCTCTCTCTGACTCGCCTCAGAGCCGCTCCGTCGGGGCCTTTCTGCGAAATCCGGCCTTGGCCTTTGTCACTTGGGGTGTGTGTGTGTGTCACTTCTAGGGTCTAGACGCGCCTCCAGCCCCAGGGCCCCCACACCCCCGGTCCGCCTGCAGCGTGAAGGGGTTGGGAGCAGTGTTCCCTCTAAGCCGAGTTAGTGTGAGCTAGTTTACAGTTTTTTTAGCCTTCAGCTCACAGGTTTTTGTCTTCACTCAGGAAGGATGGGGCTCCGGAGCAAACTAATTGATGCAGTAGCCAAATTGCTTGCTCACAACTTTAATGCCAGTCGCTCACAAAGTAGGATTTTTGCTCACAAGACTCCACATCTTAGAGGGAGCATTGGTTGGGAGGGGATGGAAGGGCGCCCCCCCCGCGGAAACTGCCGCGGTTTGGGGAGACCAGGGGGGGGGAGCGGAGACGGGGGGCACCCCTTCTCGGCAAACCGGCCAAATCGACCCTGCCGTTTCCCCGCTCCCTTCCTCTCGCACGCAGCAGGCGAAGGGATGGCGAAAGCACTGCGATCCCTAACCCACTTACTCCGGAGCTCTTCCTTGGATTTGGGATCTGGAGGGGAGGGGGAAGGGAGGACAGACACAGACGTCTCGCTTTCATGGGGCTCGGAGAAGGGGGGTCTACTCTCGAGTAAGGCGTCCCATTACCAACCGGTTGTGTGTGTGTATGTGCTTCTCTCTCTCTCTCTCTCTCTGTGCGCGCGCCTGCAGTTCATCTCCCCTCCCTCCCCTAAGGGGTCTAAGGTGAGGGTTTGTATTGGGAATGCACGTCGAGGAAGCCGAGGCCGCATCGGAGAGGCGCGGAGAAGGAGAAGACCCCGAAGTAATTCGAAGTCGGGGGACGCGCGAACTGGAGCCCCCCCCCCAAGGCCGCTTTCTCCCCCCCCCAAAAAAAGCAAAACAAAAAACCAAGCCGGCCCACGAAGTCCAGCCCGGTACAGCCGCCGACTCCTCCGCGGTGTGGACCGCGGGCGGCGGGGGGATCCGCCCAGAAGCCCAGCCGAGGCCTCCCTCGCTTGTCTGGCCAGCCGGGCTCCGGACTTCGGGGCGGGGGGCACCCGGTGCCCGTCCTCCCCGGAGGGAGCCGAGGGGCCTGCCTGGCGCCCGGGAGTGGGCCGAGGAGGGCGGCTCGGGGCCGGGGAGGGGCGGGCGCGGCGGACTCCATTGGCGTTGGGGAAGCAACAAATGCCCCTTCTGAAGTCTCCACCCAAGAGAACCGCCTCGGTCGCTCCAGGCTTCCTGCGAAATTATTATTATTCTTTTTAATCAACTTTCAAATGCGGCTCTTTTTAGGGGGGAACTGGTTTTTTTCACGCAGAAATTCAGGAAAGGGACCGGGTCGCTCCCGGAGGTTCGGAGGTTCGATTCCGGGCACTCGGCTTTCCGGGCCCCTCTTTTTCAAACCCGGGAGAGCTCACCAAGCGTGGCAGAGCGATTTGAGGGGGCCGCCATCCGGATTCACTCCGGCATCGACTCGGCGGCCGAGCGGAGGGGCCCCTCTTCTCCTCCGAGCCGCCTTCAGGCCTCGGGCCCGGAGGCGTGCGGTCCCCTCCGACGTGGTTTGACTCGGGAGTCAGCGTCCCAGGAAAGCGCCTTTGTGTGTGTTATGGCCAGGGCCCACTTCGCCCTCTCTACTCAGAGGTCAACTCAAGGGGACTCCCTCCCAAGGAATTCGTAGCCCACCAGCCTTGACCTTACTCTGGAGTAAACGGACTGGGTAGGACCGCCCTTTTACGCGCTGAGTCCTGGCGTCAGGCCCCGAGTTTGGTAGGCCTTTGTGGCCCCTCACCGCGAAGAGCCGCGTGAATGAAAGGGGTAACTGGTTTCCATGAGAGCCCGTCTACTCGGGATCGTGTCCCATTGAGTTCCACGGGCCTTGCTCCCCTCCCACTGAAGCGTGCAAAGGATCGCGGCCTGTCCCACAAAGCCCTCAAGACTTCAGGGTATTCTCAAACTCTTCTAGGTTTAATCCTACCTCGTTCTCCACGATTCTCGGTTGTGGTTCTCTCTCCTATCCAACACCCCCCCCACTCCCTCCTATCCAACCCCCCCCCCCCCAATAAAAACTTTTCTTGATCTGAATCTTTGACTGCTGAGGACTGGTGGGCAAAGACAAGGCGAAGTCTGGAAACTCCCAAATATTTATGGTCGTCGTTAATGCTGCTTTATTCATTTAATTCCAAACTTGGTTTTATTACTATTATCATTACTATTATCATTACTATTAT